GTCATCAAAAATGCACAAAATGAATGGTTTTTCATAGTTTTTAACTTAATCATGGACAATAATGTCAAAATCTATGACATGATCACAATATTAATATTGCTTTCAATATTTTTTTTTTTAATTATAGAAATTTTATGTTTACTTTAATGAAAGTACATATAAACATGTTAAAAACTATGGGACAAAAGACTTCTATTCTTAATTCAGGTAGTACATTTACTATGCAGTAGTTTAGAAAAATACATGTACAGTCGAAACCTCGTTGTGTCTAACTCGGTTGTGTCGAAAACTCGGATGAGTCGAAGTAATTTCTCGGTCCCGGTAAAATTCCTGTTTGATCAATGCATAATTACCTCTGATGAGTCGAGCTCGGTTGATTCGAATACTCGGTTAAGTAGAGTAAATTTGATAGTCCAGTCGATGTAAAATTAATGTAAATTGACCCAGATGTCTCGAAGTTCGAAAGTAAGAATTTTCGAAAAGATAAAATGTCAAATGGGATGTATTTCTTATGCAACCTTATCATTTTCAAAAGAGATTAAAGCTGAGTTAACATATTTGTTTGTATAACAGTTAAAATGACATGTTTATGGTGAACGATAATTAACACCTGTGTTGATTGTTCAAGCGGAATGTTAGTGTGTTGATTGTTCAAGCGGAATGTTAGTGTGTTGAACATTTTTCACAAGAGATAAAAACGAATTTAAATGACCCAAGCCGAGATTAAATGAATCGTTAGATTTAAAACTCATTAATTACAATAAATGAAAGGATTAAGACAATTATGATAAATTCATGATAATTTAATGTAAAGCAGACGACCTCATTAGAGACCGTTCAGAACTTATTTCATTCCGCAAGTGATTTCATAATTTATAGTGACTGACCTTTGTAAATAACTGTGTAGACTATTGATTTTATTTGTGCATGATTTGTATCTGTACTTGTGTGTTTAATTATTACGAAGGACAAAAAATGGAGATTGAATACACAATCATAAAGTGTCATATCGAAAAAAAAGTCACACTGTTCATTGTATCTAGTTTACACAAATCTTATACCGTATTTCATACATTCCAAATTTATGACGACACACTCGACCTCGGATGAGTCGAACCTCGGATGAGTCGAATACTTTGGTCTGGTCCCTTCGACCTCGACACAACTAGGTTCGATTGTATATCAAAATAAGGAGATGCGGTATAATTACCAATGAGACAACTATCCGCCAGAGTACAAAAAAGTGGATAAAAGCAATTATGATTCACTGTACAGCCTTCAACAATGAGAAAATCCCAAACTGTATAGTCAGCTATAAAAGGTCCTCTTACTCTGAAATTGTAATAGCTTTCTTCATATATTCTGCACACTGTCTGGTGTCGCCTCTACCATCAAACACCAACCCTGTAATAGAAATTCAAAGGTGCAAAAGATAAAATGACAGGAACCTCAAGGATTTTGTTATTAAGAACAGGACTGAAAAAAACAATTTAAATTAATTTAATATTCTTATCATATTTTTTACCTGGCCATCTTTCAGAATGTTCATTTTTTGTTTGAATTATGTCTTTTCTAAACAATATCCATTGGAGATACTGTGGATTCATTCATTTTGGTGGTTACAAATTTGAGTGAATTGAGGAAAAATCATATTTTCATGGATAATTTATGGTTTTGCCAAAGTCTGCATTCAAGCATATAAAAATTTGTACATCGTTGAACGTTTAAATTTGTTGTTCTGACACCTAAACAAAGGAAATCCACAAAAATTGGTATCCCAAGAATAATAATGAATCCACAGTAATTGATAATACCTGTCCTTCTTAGTACTAGCTAGTATCAAGCATAAACTCACAGAAAAAGATCGAAAGCATTATTTTTATTATCAAATGTAAACGCTCAAAGAAATTATCTGGAAACCTTCTATGACGAATGTTGATAAACATCAAACAAGCTTTTGACATATCAGTAATTGTGTGCAATCTTTTTTGAAGATCAGCAATCAGAAAACTTTGATCAGAAGAACAATCATAAAATAAGAGAGCCAGAAAAGTAATCAGAAACAGATTTTTTTTTTTATTTGGTCTCATACTTTGAAAATACCTACCTAAATTAAGGTAAAGTCTGGCTTTCATCTCCATATATTCAACATTTTTAACCTCTTGCTTCAAGTTTTCACATGCAGTCAAGCTTTTACAGAATGCCTCCTCTGCTTGCTTGGATGCTTTCACTATGTTCTGTTTCCCTCTGGCACTGTCACATTGAAATAAATAAGTCCTACCAATAGTAGCCAGTGCTCTTTGCTCTTCCAATAAATTTCCACATGACCTACTAAGCACCAAGTGGCGTTGCTGAAATTGTAGTGCTTTGTCATACTGATCCATTCCACAATAACACTCTCCAATTTTGCGACATGCCACTGCTGAACCAATGGTATCTTCCAACGCTTCACTGATGGCAAGTTCCTTTTCATGTTCTGCTTTTGCTTCATCACACCTTCCTGCAATGTATATAAGTTTTTTTTTTCTCTCTCAATAACCAGTAAATAAGAATGAAATAACAATCTAAAGAAGTTTTTTCATGATCTAGGACCTGGCGCTAAGGGCCGTCTTAAACTTGAGTGAGGTGAGATTTTTTTTGGGGTCTATCTTGAAGGCCTCACTGTGACTTTGAGATGAAGAACAGCAATACAAGTGCTGTTCCTTTGCTTTCCGAGTGTATTTTGCTGTGCATGTACTGTTTTTGTATCATTGATGGATACCCCATATCCTTTGTTTCTCTAATAATTTCGAAATAATGAAAATCAGTGATGATTGGTTAGTTCACAGCATATAGTAAATTCTAAATAGCCATAAATAATAAAGTTCCTTTATCATTTATATATTAGTGTACTGTTATAAAATTAATTGAACATGACTTTAGGTACATTGAAGTTGCATTCTTTGATAGTTTTATTTACTATGTACTGCTGTCTTTGTATGTACTGTTTGTCTGTGGACCTATTAATATACCACTGATCAACGCAATAACTAATTAACCCTGTCACTTTAATGTCTGTTCTAACATTGTCTAAGTCAGGAATCATGTCAGAGGTTAATCTCAGAGTGTCAGGCTATATTATAAACTTATACATCTTACTAGTATTCCTACTAATTTTTAGAATTTTGAGATGATTAAATTTGTTATTCTCTGTTAAATTCATTCTTTACTCTTCTAGATTGGACGATTGAAAGCTTGACATACATGTATGGTATAGACATCTGTCTTCTCTAGACAAACATATGGTATGTGTTATATTTTGACATTACAGGTCTTTTCTGGAGTTCCTATGTAGCTGTGATTTTTGTTTTCTATATCTACATAACTATTCTCTTTTTATTCATATCACTAAAATAAAGTGAAAGATTTTTTTTACACTTACCATACTTTACAAGAAGTTCACCAATGCAGTTACATATTTGTGCTACCTCCTTCAAATTGTCTTTCTTTTCAGCCTTCTTTCTTTCCCTTTTTAATTCTTTCAATGAGAAAAAAACAACAATTTATTAAATACATGTAATACTAAAATATGGTTTGCTCAGGCCTAAAAAAAAAAAATCTGTGTTTCCGGTAACATCATTTTGTTAAATAGAGTCGGTAGGTCGGATTTTTTTTTTTTTGACATTGTAAACGAAATCCGGAAAATTATCATGGTTTTTTGCAAGTCTGTGTCCGTAATTAGTTTCAAATACCGGAAGTGCGGCCATTTGCAATGTTTTTGAAGCACCTGCTGTGCAAATTTCTTGGATTTTAACCTATTTGGAATACCTTTTGACATAAATAAAATGTTTTACTGGCTTTCAAATAAAGAGATGAAGTCATTCTGTGCAGTTAGATAAATAATTATGTCGATTAACAGAGGCCTGTGTCAAAAACAGGGTCGGTTGATACCAATTTTTTTTTTTTTTTTTGAAGATCCAATAAAAAAATTAGGGTCGGGGCTAAAAAAACAGGGTCGGTCGGGTTACCGGAAACACAGATTTTTTTTTTCTCGGCCTCAATACATTTGTACTTCAATATAGTATTCATTATTATATCAAAGTTGTAATAATTTTTAACCCTTTTTCGGCTGGACCAAATTAAATCACTACTTTACTTAAAAAATTCATGACCCTAATTTTTTTTACAGTGTTATTTCATCCCATTACTGTGTTACCTTATATGTATATAAAGAGAGGGTATTTCACTTTGTACTAGGATGAATCCCAAGTCTTAGATTCATAAAATAGTTTATTTCCTTCGGGTCAGGACTGGAAACCGTTTCACCAATCAGTGTTATTATACTAAACATCACGGACGTTGTAATAGACATCCTTAGTTTTTAAATGATAATTAATTTAAAATAAAGTAAATAACATTGTTTATCATGCTTAAATTCTTCAAGTAGTACGATTGTGCAAGGATTTGTACACTTTACAAATCCTTGGATTGTGTTATCACCTGTTATCGTACAAGTTTGCTTATGCATCTTCAGCTGTGACATGAGCATAAATGTGTATGGATAAAAATTAAATAACACAAATAAAGAGATGAAGTCATTGAATTGAAGACCGTGGCACATGTCCAGTTATTGTATTCACATTATGAGACATGATGGTATATAGGCAAAAATTCAAGTAGCTTTCCAAGCAGTCATAACTATAATATTTGGACTGTTTTGTTTACAAAATATGACAGCTGGTGAAGTTAGACCTCGCCTGGAGTGTTTACGTTCCTTAGTTTTGTTTAATTGCTAGTGACATATCCTAACGACAATATACTATAGTGATCTTTTTGAAATTTCATAATAACGTTTTATACTTTCAAGTTCTTTTTCATCAAAGAGGTCCATGTTGTGTGTCAAATTTCCCGCAGATCCGCTACGCATGCGTGAAGTCGTATATTTTTTATCTTCGTTACAAAAGAAAAAGTCTTAGTCGTGTAAAGGTTTAAATACATGACTTATTTCTCGTGTGGATAAAGTTTGACGAACACAAGGCTCTCATGTAAACAAATGCCATGCAGTGAGAATGATTTGATATTGTTATAGGTGTCTTACTTCTGACACATCAGGGACTTTCACAAACAGAGACGTATGATATAAAACTACTTAATTTGTATATATTCTGCCAATGTAGGCACACCTCCATCATGGATTTCCTTCACTCAGAGACATATAATATTATATCTCTGCTTAATCACACAGAATTAAAGTTATCTCGTACCATTGTAAACTCGTACCAATGTCAACTCGTACCACTAAAAAAAAACTCGTACCAATGCAAACTCGTACCACGGTAAATTCATACCATTGTAAACTCGTACCAACTTATTTAAATGCATTCAAATGGTGTTTAATGATGAATATATACTTTAATTACACTCAATACCTCTTAAGTCTGTAAAATGTATATAATTTGAAATTACAATGACCAATTTGTAGCTAATTTTCCTTGTCTTATTTGATAGAGAAAACCGTGGCGGATTGGCTTTGTTGTCTCCCTTGAATAGACTCTTTTTTAAACTTTTACTGACAACTATTTGATTTAATTTTTAATCATCCCAAATCAGTAACATTGAATAGATTTGGGTATTTTTCTATTGTTTCTAAAAGGAGTTTTATTTAATGAAAGAATTTATTTATTGTGTTTTAAAGGTTTAAAATAATTGTTTATGACCAACAGCTGGGACTATTATACTAACATTAGTATAATAGTCCCAGCCAACAGTTAGAAAGTATGAAATTTATTTTTATACCATATTCAGCACATTTTAGCAGAATATGACCATGCAAATATGATTAAACAAGTTAATTAGTTGATAATCAACCAATAATCACACAATCAAAGGAATTTAATATAATTATTATCATGGAAATTAAGAAATAACATTCGTATTTTTGTTTAAGTTATCATTAAAATCTGGTATAAAATTCAAAGATATTTTAATTTTTTGTATAAAGCTTTAATAAAAAATAATCATAAAACATTCATATTTTTGTCTAAGTTTTCATTAAAATCTAGTATAAAATTCAAGTAATTCAACTTTTTTTATTTAGTTTACCAAAAACAAAATCATAAAACATTCGTATTTTTTAATATATTTTTAATGGTACGAGTTCTGATTGGTACGACTTCCCAGTGGTACGAGTTTACGTTGGTACGAGTTGACTTTTTTAGTACGAGTTTACGTGGTACGAGTTAACTTGCTTCCATCACACGGATATGTTCAATTCACCACACAATTAATTAAACCTGTAAAACGAGTCATGCTTTGATGACTCGACCCATAACAAACCAGTGCATAGACCTTATCACTATTTGGAAAACTGTGCCGCTTGACCAGAGAATCTGCGCCGCTTGACCCAAGAATCTGCGCCTCTTGAACTATTGATGTCATACAACAATCACCTTTCCATTGTGGCGTCAGTTATTTTCTATTTTGACGTCAAAATTTTACGGGAACCTTTGTTATTTCCAGTAATGGCTGACAAATTGCGATTTCAGGTGTATAAACGTATTTACACTTTGGTATTTAGCTATATTTTGCCTCCGAATGACCTTAGGTCTACTCTGAATCACCTTTTGACGTCAGGCAACAATCACTTTTTAATTGTGACGTCAAATGTTTTGAATTATGATGTCAAAGTTTACGGGAACCTGTGTGATTTTACGTAAAGGCCGACAAATTTGCATACAAGTGTAAACACGTCTATTACATTTGTGCTTATTACCATTGCATTTGCTCACAGCTTTTGGTTACTTTTGCACGCATTCATTTTACAAGTAAACACATATAAATAATACAGTTTTTGGCATGATACGGGTTATGTTCTTCTAATATATTTTATGATGGTATGATACTAAACCCCTAACGGAAGGGATTGTGCTTGATTTTCATACATGTATGATGAAGACATAATCTTTCAATCAGTTTAATTGAGGTCTGGAGCTGGCATGTCAGTAACTGCTAGTAGTCCTTTGTTAATTTATGTATCATGGTCATTTTGCTTAGTTTCTTTTGTTACCTATTCTGACATCAGACTCAGACTTCTTTTAAACTGAGTTTTACTGTGCGTATTGCTGTGTGTTTGTTTTTTCTACATTGGCTAGAGGTATAGGGGGAGGGTTAAGATCTCACAAAACATGTTTAACCCTGCCGCATTTTTGCGCTTGTCCCACGTCAGGAACCTCTGGCCTTTGTTAGTCTTGTATGATTTTTAATTTTAGTTCATTTATATGTTTTGGAGTTTAGTATGACGTCCATTATCACTGAACTAGTACACATTTTTGATTAGGGGCCAGCTGAAGCACGCCTCCGGGTGCGGGATTTTCTCGCTGTGTTGAAGACCCATTGGTGGCCTTAAGCTGTTTTGGTCGGGTTGTTGTCTCTTTGACACATTCCCCATTTCCATTCTCAATTTTATTTTATTGTCTTTTTATTTGTTTAAGTATTTACAAGTAACCCTTCTGTAAGTCTTAGTCCTTTGTTCACCAATGAAGAGGTTGGAGTGGGGGTTCTAGCTGGATAAGTCTGTTTTATTATGCACAATCACTAAGTCTGAAGATCGACTAAAAGTTCTGATTTTACGTGTTGGTGCACATGCGTGCTGAATATTTGAAGCCTACTGCTTTAAGAAATTGAATTCCGTCAAATTCTCCATTCTGGTATTTTCGGAATTGTGCCTCCATATACTATATTTTCTCTTTCTTACTTCTACACACAAGTGCTGACCACTGTATAAAGCCTTCATAGATTGGAAACAAAATTCTATTCACCATGTTCACTTGCAATTTATGCCTTAAGCGATTACAGGATTTCTCATGAATGATCACTTAATGTATTTTTCTAGAATTCAATATGAAAAATACATAATTTAAAATTATATATATATATATATATATATGTTCAAGAATAATAACTATCGACATATTTATTATGAATTATCTTTATATTCACCTGTATTACCTGTAAAACGAATGTGCACAAATGGAATAAAAAGCAGTGCACTTGTAAACGTAAATTTTTTGAATCCCCAAATGCATGCAAATGTAATGCGCCCTAACATACTTAGACTAATATGAGGCAGGTGTTGTACATGTACCTAAGAAAGGGGACGAAGTCAGGAAAACCTGTACAATACTTTATGATATCCCGTTAACCGCAGATTTATATGTATAAAAAATGAAAGGGAGAAGGCCCTGAAAATGGAAGATACCTTCATCTTCTACAAGGAAAAGAAATGGTTAGTGTCTAGCCCAGTGGAATGAGAAATAGACAACTGCTGCTCTAAGCTCATCAGAAGCCAGTTCTGTCACAATAGCCATTGGAATGGTAGATTCAGCAATACAAACAGCAGCACTATACATGTCAGAGGAAGCATGTTGAAAGCATTGATATGTTTGTTGACATGTGCTGGAATAAAAACTTTATGTTTTCTTTATTTATAAAATCAAAAAGAAATCACACTGAGACACAATTGAATGAAATATGATCAAATCTGTATACCGGTATACTTATTATTACAATAAGATTTGTTATCAAATTAAAACAAGGACACAAAAAACATCAGAAACACACATAGAGATCATAGCCCTTACTTTGAAGTCACTGATTATTTGGTAATTACAATGTCATGCATGTAATTACAGGTATGCATATGATACATAATTAAAAAAATGTAAAAAAAATAAGACAAATGAAAAGAAAAATATGTGCTTATTTTTCTTTTTTAACTGAAATAAGTCATACTTTTATATTTTTATACACCCGTTTATTATACGTTCGTTTACGGGACGTATTATAGTTTACCATTGTCTGTCTGTCTGTCTGTTTGTCATCAACATGTCGGACAGTAACTCAAAAACGCTTTAACCAATTTGCATGAAACTTTGGTGAATTGTTTATATCTATTGACGTAAGCTCCCTTTCAATTTTTATAAATTTTAGATTTTACGTTTCCGAGTTATGGGGTGTTATTCATTAAAAAAGGGGGATTTTCCAGTTTTCCGACTAACTCAAAAATGCTTTGAGCAGTTTTCATGAAACTTTGGTGAATTGTTTATATCTATTGATGAGAGCTCCCTTTCCATTTTTATAAATCTTAGATTTTATGTTTCCGAGTTATGGGGTTTTATTCATTTAAAAAGGGGGATATTCCAGTTTTAGGACAATAACTCAAAAATGCTTTGAGCAGTTTTTCATGAAACTTTGGTGAATTGTTTATATCTATTGACATGAGCTCCCTTTAGATTTTTATAAATTTTAGATTTTACATTTCTGAGTTATGGGGTTTTACTATTAAAAAAGGGGGATTTTCCAGTTTTAGGACAATATATTAAAAGTGCTTTGAGCAGTGATGACTGGTTTATATCTATTAAAATAACCTCCCTTTAGTTTTTTTATAAATTTCTGATATGACATTGAGTAGTTAAGGAACTTTATTCTTTGAAAAAGCAACAGGCGTAAATCATGTGCTCATGGCACAGCTCTTTATTTATCTTGTTAATGGAATTTATATTTCTTTCTTGTAATATGTTCAAAATAAATTATTTAAACTGATAATCAATTTAAAATAAAGTACTGATAATTAATTTCAAATACGGTAAGTAGATAACATTGTTTATCATACTTAAATTCTTCTAGTAGTCCAAGTTTGCTATAATATGAGTTTGTTCTAGACTGTTTGTGAGGCCTATTTTGTTAGGCAGAGTTTGCTATAGTCCCAGCTTGCTAAGGGCAGAGTTATCAGGGCGTCTTAACATCAACTATAATATATGTTTTTGGGTATACCTACTCCGCTTAATTATATAATTTTATTTGACAAATTGGCTATGCAAATAACCAAAATCCACTGTAGTTCAGCCTAGAAAGAACGAATGATTACTCCTCAAAACTATGTAAGAAGGGGTGTGAAAATTCTTTTTCAAATTTCGTCAAAGTTAACAAAGTTATATAGATCAGTGTTTGGCTTTAGTTCCAAAACTTCAGACAACAGTGTCAGTGAAATTGTAAGGAAGAAAAAAATATAAATTAACAGGACTATACATTACATGACAAATCATCACATAAAGTTAAATGATGTATACAGTAAAAATAACAGTATGGTACATTTAAGAAATTTAAGTTGATCATTGTTTCAAATTGGGGAAAGGAAAACAAGACAAAGCTGGCTCTAAGTTTTCCAAACCGATGATAGAATATAGCAGCTGATTTTCTGGCTCCAACTTTCTTGGATGTATAAGATTTGAGTTACTTTATTCTTACACACTGTAGATAGCTTAATTATTGAATCACAAGCTTCAATCTTAATTGCCTAAAACAAATTTGTATTGTAACTGGTAAACAATAAGTGATAGAGACCAAGGGTCTTTTGATTTGAGGTCGTTGTTTCATGATCTTGAAATGGAGGTCAAGGTCAGAGGTAAATTTCATGTTTTATATTTTGACCTTTGTTATTACTGCATATTCAAACATGATAAAGGCATGTGGTCTTTGCATTTGGTTGGAAGACATGTGACCTTTAAAAGATCAACCAGAAGTGACCTTTTGTTATGCGGAAAAATCTATTGTTACCTTATTTTTCATGTAAAAGTACCTAAAACTGTATATTTTTGGAATCAGTGTGAAGTAACCTATCAAATGTAACCAAAAGTGTTATTATTTCAAACCAGAAGTAGCAAATTATCTCCCTTATCTCATGAAAAATATATTCAAACAATATAATGTTTGGAATCACTTTTGACTAAGCTATCATTTGACACCTGAAGTGACTTTGACTAAACCAGAAGTGGCTTATTATCTCCCTTATTTCATGAAAAAGTTCCATAAAGTATTTTCTTTTTTTTCTAAGATAAGCTATCTCACACAAGAGCTACTATTCTTAAACCAAATTTTCTGATGTAATAGTAACTTGATTTGGGGTGTAAAGACCTTCAATTGTTCTCTGAACAATTGTTTTTTAATTTTAATTTTATTTTTTTTAAACTGCTTGCTTGGCTTGTTTAGACAACAGAAAAAAGTTATGTTCATATGAAACTTAAGCATTGCCTTGTGTTGTGTCCTCCAGCCCAGCAACCAAATAAATGGGCCCTATTCATTATTTGAGCTGTTTGCTTTGCTTGTTTAGACACAGGGAGAATAGTTTTTAGTTTAACCAGCAAGCGCTGGGCTGGTAAATATGACAAATATTAGGCGATTGAAATTTAGAGTTGAATATGTTTTCTGGAATATAGCAACTTGAAACACCTGTTGAAAATGGGAACACACATATGCATGTTTATCTTAATAAATGTAATGTAAAATTACCAATTATCAATCCAGAAATTTATTAATTGACAATTTCTCTTTCACACATATATATATTCACTTGTAAAAATATTTAATTGATTACCTTAAATAACTTGTTTTCATATAGCTCTTTTGATACCATTCACAAGTTTTTGATAAACAATGACCATGATATGTATAGAAAGTGCAACCGACCCATATTATGGACTTTTGAATTCTGAGACAAGGTTGTATATATATTAATTAAAATATTCAGTGAAATAATTGCTTGTCAAGCAATATTCTGCAAATAGCTATAAAACCTTACAAATAGTTGTTTAAAATTACAATCTCTTGTTTGCACATACAAATTTTGGACATGATGAAATTTCTTAGGTTTCATTGTATTATGTAAATTTTGATGCCATTCAGAAATAAAACATATGTAAATACTTAACATTATCCAAGCCCTACTGGTAATTATCTTACCAAACAAACAGGATAAAAAAAAACTTGCAACTTTAGAGCTAATTTCCTAATGCTTCAGCTTGTAAATTAAGCAAATGTTTATACAAAGCAAGCAAGCCAACTAAAGTCTACAAGCATTAGGAAATTAGCTCTAAAACGGAAACCATTTTTGTGGTTGATATTTTATAGCTTTTCTAACCAAACACAAAGTTCAAATATCTTAAGATCAAGCCTTTTTGGCAATATACAATATACTTACAATAAATATTTTAAATAATATTTATTTCTCAAAGGATAGATTTCAACTAACCTTTTTCATACATTTTTGATACACATGAAGTGCTACACTTTCAAGGATCTTTATCCCCCATTCCCATTTTGAAAGTTATGTTCTCATTAAAACTTTCCACAATATCTCTACATATTTGTCTGTACAAAATTCTATATGAACAAAAGGTTCTGAACCGTTCAGTTTGTGTTCTGTTTGTGTTCTGTTTAACTGATTTAACCCAATTACATTGTGTAGGCTATCTGGATCATGTGTTTTTCTTTGTTGTTTGTTTTTATTTGTATATCTAATATTGTCCTTTTATGCATTAATACTGACAGCTGAGATAGTATGTTGATATATTTGAATGCTTGCAATCAAGTACTTTACCCCTCCCCCTTTTTTTGAAAAAAATTGGTCTTTTCAGAATAATCCTGCTTCTTATGATACTTAATTTATATGAGCTTTTTTTCAATTTGTGAAAAGATTATTATTAAAAAGTTCAACTCGAACATTTAGTCATGTCCATGTATAGTCCATATCATGTTTTTTGCATGGATTATCATGATTATCATCTGTAAGGATTTTAATTTCTTGGTAAAAGATAAGATATGATAAAGTTCACTTTTTGTCCCCTTGAATTAAAAAAAAATGTTAAGCTCTGAAAATATAGAAATTAATGTGTGCATTGTTTATTGTGAATCACTGATTACTGGTTAAAATGCTAGATCTAATTAAAGAATTTCAAAAATATTGTGACGGAAAATCACTGCTGAAATATAATGAATGCCGGTTTTAACTACTGCGAACCTGATACTGTCACATTTTTCACATTAATAAAAACATCACCATTTGATTATTTCTGAATTTACAGTATTATTATATATATGTAAATCTATCAAATAACATCCTTCAGATATTAAAAAAAACATTATGAAAATAAGAATATGTGGTATATTTTGTATGATAAGATTTCAATATAATTTATTTTTTGTATTTATCTTTCAGGTTAAATAATAAGATGATGTTAATAGAACGAGTTTGTCAGCTGGAATGGATTGAAACTCTGTCTGTTTGTCAATGCTCAATAGTGTATACAAGATTTTAAGATTTAGAATTTGTCCAGAGATTGAAACCCATGTGTGAAACAGATAATTCTTATTGGAAAATCAATCAAGTATTTTGTTGCTTTGTTTATTCTAATTATTAGTTCTGGTAGAAGCAATGGCAATAAATTACTAATTATTGGTAAAAGCAATGGCAATAAATAACTAATTATTAGTAAAAGCAATGGCAATAAATTACTAATTATTAGTAGAAGCAATGTCAATAATTAGTAATCATTAGTATAAGCAATGGCAATAAATTACTGAAAAAGTTATTAGAAGAAGCAATGGCAATAAGTTATCACAAAGTAGAACTAAAAACAATTGTGCAGATTTGTGATACGATTGATAGAATAATTTCACACTCGCTTGGACCTCGTGGATCAAAAATTCTGCTGGCTACTGAAACAGGTCAGGTGATCATTTCTAGTGATGGTAAAACAGTGTTAAGAAAACTGCAATTCGGTCATCCTGTTGCCAGACTAATTATTGATTCCATGACAAGAACGGTCAGTTTTACAGGAGATGGCAGTAAAACATTTATACTTTATTTATCAAAATTCTTTCATGAACTTTTACAGCAAGAATTCAAGTCTACTAGTCACAATGATTGTGTATTTGCTCTTCAAAAGATTAAATTTGAAATCAGTTCGAAACTTGGATCATTCATAAAATCAAAAATACCAGGTTCAGAACGAGTTATTTCTTCTGGTACCGTTTGTGAAATTCTAAGAACGTCTTTATCTAACAGTTTCCAAGAAAGAATCATTGAGCATTATGTCACCATGATGAATGAAGCAGTTTGTACACATGGACAAGATGAACAAGTAATTATAAACAATATTAGATATATGGCTGACAATTTTTATCAATTTTGTGTAAAAGTTCCAAGTCTACCATATAGTGAATCAAAAACTTTGTCACCATTTCTCATTCAAAGAAGATTTGCTGTGTACAGTCAAAATGATTTATTTCAATATGTCATATTCATAATTTGTTTATTCCCAATAACAGGACATCAAAAAAATGTAGAAACAAGGGAGATAATTAGACTAAAGAATGAATCGTCTTTAATCAGATTCATGGACCACCATCATTATTTTCTGCAGAAATTTGTAGAGATGTGCAAAACAAAAAATATACAACTAATTCTATGCTCTGAACAAGTATCGGACCAAGCTTTGCAGCTTTTTGCATTAAATGGAATCAGTGTTGTTCAGTATGTAGCAGAGGAAGACTGTGATTGGTTGATGTCAAGTTTAAAGATGAGTCCAAGTACTAGCATTTTTGACACATTGGAGAGTAATATGCTTCACAGTGCAAAATCTTGCAAACCTTTAATTTTGAATGGGCGACAGTGTGTTCATTTGGAATTAGATTGTCAACTGCATTTGCCAAAGATGTTAATTATTTGTGCTCCAACTGAAGGCTTATGTAATCAGGCATTTCTTAATTTGAAGAAATCTTTGAAAACAATATCATCATTTCTTAGTTCTGATATACCAAAGGGTCTAACAGATGAAGATGGCAATGAAAATTTTGGAACTGAAATATCTGTAATTGGCGGAGGAGGAACCTTTGAGTTTCTTGTGGCAGAATTTCTATCTGAGTATTCACAAAGAGAAAGCTCTTGTAGCATCAAGCTTATTTGTAAGCTTTTAAGTACTGCTGTACTACAATTACCCAGAATTCTATTTCACAATAATTCGCCCTCCAAACAATTAGATTTCAAACTGCTTCTTGTTTTGTCAGAAAAGATTAATAATTCCAGGCATGCTGGGAAATATTTAGGAATAGATAAGAATGGTCAAGTATCAAATCTGTTTGATAATGGTGTTTTAGAATTGGTCGAACCCAAAATTCACATTTTACTTTCAGTGTTAGAACTTATGCAGCAGGTGCTTCGGATTGATTATTTTGTAGGAGTGAAAAATATAAATCACAATAATGAAGATTCTAATGAACATGATGAATAAAATTCAATTTATGATTCAAATTGATTTTTCATTGTGTCTTGTCAGAGAGTGATAATTATATTTTCATTATACATGCTAAAATGGTTTTGTGGGTTTTTTTTTTGGGGGGGGGGAGTGAAACCAGGATATGAAAATGAAGAAACTATTATGGGGAAATGAACTCAGACAAAAAAAAAAAGAAAACAACAAAAACAAAAACAATGCAAAGATCAAGAAATGTGTTTTATTAAAAATAAGAATAGAAATCTTGGGCTCAGATGTAGAAAAGACAAACACAACAGCAATGCAGAGATCAAGAAATGTGTTATATTAAAAATAAAAATCTTGGGCACACCTCAGGAACATAAAAATTGTAAGTCTCAGATTTAAAAACAAATCCAGGATCTGTTACTACTTCCATGCCTCCATTTTTTTTTTAAAATCAATGGTTGAGCTGATTATTAGATATGTCAGTCATTGTCACTGAGGTCATTAGCATTTTATTATCATACATTTTTTTAGACTTCCTGAAAACATAACATAAGTCTGGAAAGATGAAGTAGTAAATAAAAGATTATATATCAAAAACACTAATTGTTCGTTTGTTTTGCAAGGAAGTAACTAATCCTTCCTTCTCTTATTTAATTGGGTTTTTTTTGTGCTTATTCTCAATATATTCTGTAATTTATGACCTATGCAGGTAATTATATAGAACTTACATTGAAAATGTTCTAATTAAATTTATTGAACAGTATTAAAACAGTGCTAAATTTCCTGCTGAAGAATTGAAAAAACTATATCAAATGATCTTTTCTGTAAGTTAAGGAAAAACTTATTTTTTTTAAGAAAAATCATAAACAAAATGCCCACACACATCAAGGTGGGTAGAATTATACTGGATGTGTGAAGAGCAATGTTTGATTTTGATCTATTTTACATTTAAAAAAAGCAGTTTAGGTGGGAGGAATTTTTAAATAAAACAACATGTCAGCTCTTCCCAATTGTCTGCAATATGTCATGTTGGGATGTAGAATCACAAAATGTTTTTTCTCGCCTGTGACGAAAGTGGCAGTATGCGAGACATAGGGTCAACTATCTTGTGGCAGCGATGTAAATTATTTGTATAAAGCTTTATATTTGGGAAGCTAGAAGACCTGAATGCTTCACACCTAGTATACAGATACCTTATGTAATGAAGTTTTCTGTCTGTCATATGTCCATTGTCCTTGACCTCATTTTCATGGTTCAGCGACTGCTTTAAAAAAAATTACAGTTTTTTGTCATGTGAATTTCTCATGAATAATTGGATAATTATATTTGGTGTATGGGTTCCTTGCAAGGTCTACATGTCCGTCTGACAGGGTTCACCTAACCTCGACCTCATTTCATGGATTAGTGATCAATGTTAAGTTTTTGTGTTTTGGTCTGTTTTTTCAAGTACTATAAGCAATAGGTCAACTATATGTGGTGTATCGAATGATTGTAAGGGGTACATGTCAATCTGGCAGGTTTCATCTGACCTTGACTTCATTTTCATGGTTCATTGGTCAATGTTAAGTTTTTGTGTTTTGGTCTGTTTTTTCAAGTACTATAAGCAATAGGTCAACTATATTTAGTGTATGGAATGATTGTAAGGTGTACATGTCTGTCTAGGCTGGTATCATCTTACCTTGACCCAGGGCTGCCAAGTCTCACGCATTTTCATGCTTATTTGGCGACATTTTCCTTTGATCTATTGTTTTTTCTCTTTGATCTTTAAGATTTTGGCCAAATCTCACGCATTTGCATTATTAAAAGTTGGCAGAACTGTTGACCTCATTTTCATGGTTTATTGGTCAATGTTTAGTTTTTGTGTTTTGGTCTGTTTCTGAATTACCATAAACAATAGGTCAACAATATTTGGTGTATATGTCTGTCTGACAGTTTTTATCTGACCTTAACCCCAGTGTCATGGATCTTTAAAAATGTTAAGTTTTTGTGATACTTGTAGTAAAAAACCTTTATCTTTAAGACTTCCAACATAAAATCAGATCCTCTTAAAATTAGGAATAAGGTTTCCACTCTTCAGAACAACAGATGAGTTTGATTATCAGAAAAATATGAAGTTGGGACTATTTTTCTGCAGAGTGACTTCTGACTAGCAAAAATGATTATTTCATGTCACCATACTACTGCTTTCATTTTTTAATTAAGGTTTCCACTCATCAGAATAACTGATAGATTTATATAATGGGGGAAAATTGCATAAGGGAGCTCTTATTTAGGGAGGGGGACTTGTTAAGTAAAAATAACCTCATTTATTTTGATAGAGCCTGCATTGTTTGGGGGATGATCTTTAATTTTGGATGCAAGGTTCAACTCATCAGAATTAAAGATGAGTTTGATCATAAGAAAAAAGCTGAAATAAGGCACTATTAATTTGTGAAGGGGGGATTGTAAAAATAACAAATTTTAATAATTGCTGGAGTGCAAAGTATGATAGGCTCAGAGTCAGAATAATGTGATACCGGTATTCAATTTTCTATAAAGCAGGGTTCATATTCTTGTCCTAACTTTGCATCATCATCATCATCATCATTTCATTATTAACATAACAAGAAATGTAGGACTTTGATTCATATAGTTAGCCAAAAAAAATAAACAAATAAATGCTTTTTTAGATAAATTAATAATGAATTGAATAAAAAAAAATAATTTAAAGAATTATCTTATACAAATGAGAAAACTTGTATGCTTAGTTACTTCAACTGCATGGTGCATTGCATAAGTTTTTTGATGAAGGAAGTTTATATATTATTAAAAGGGCAGTGGGTGATTTGCTGGTGCCGGCAATATTTGGCGGCTCTATTGAAATTTTGATGTCTACTTTAAATTGTTTTAAACTTTACATTCTAATACAAAATTTCAGTAAATTGAAGTTCTCAAAATGTCCTTGAACAACCTTTGCTCTTTGCTCTATGTACATATAAAAAATACATGTAATAAGAAAGAAAGTGAGTACAGTAACTGTTTAGTATTGTTAACTTTATATTTTTTCAAAACTAGTTGAAGTGACTTTTACAAAATTAAGTAAAACACAGCAATCCATAGCACACATGCTACTGAAACATTTATAAATTGAAGTTAAATTCAATTCTCATTTTAATAATAATTCATTCTGACACCATAATTCAGCATTTTTATTGTGACTTCTTTTTTACAGTTTTAATAATATGTTTTTTGCTTGACAATGTTTTAAAATTTTGTGTGTATTTTATGTATTGCGCATGTTATTTATATTAAACTGAAATAATAATGTTTCATTTTTTATGTTGATAAAGCACACCAATTTACAATATCCGGAATTAAATCCAAAAGACAAATTTAGGATTCATCAATTTTTATTATAGCCGGCATATTTTCTATTTTGCAGGCGCCGGAAATATAGGGTTACATGCCATTATTCTGACAGCCTATTATTCCGATAGCTCGTTAGTCTGACGGCCCATTGTTCCGACAGCCCATTGGTGCAATCCGACAGCCCAATAATCCGACAACCCATTAGTCCGAGCGCGGCTTGAAGACTACTTGAAATGTTAATGGTGATACACAGCTTGGGTTCGTGTTTCTCAAACTGTTTTTATGCACTGATGCATTATGTTGATAGTTTTTATTAGTTTGTCAGTTCTTCTTCCATAGGAGTTTGAATGTCCAATTAGTAGCTTCTGTCTCAGTGTTACACAGGTGCTCCTAGAACGGAGGAAATAACTCATAGAAGAAGACAACCTAGAACACTGATGATTAAAACATTTCTCAGTGGAGCTAGATTGTAGTATTTCTTTTTTTTTTCGAATGTGCGAGTCAAGTTCTGTCGTGTGATACAGGTGCTCCAAGAACGGAGGAAATTACTCAGTGAAGAAGACACCCTAGATCGCTGGCCAAGTTCGAATGGAACTCTAGAGTAGATAGGATTGACATGGTCATATATAACACCTGTTATGATTGGATTTAGCTTTCCCGCCATAAGAACCCGAGGAGTCCTGTGCGTGGGCAGGGTTCCTCGAGATCGACTCCATATCCCGGATGTTATGACGTCAATCCAATCAAATTTGAATGTCAACATATCCAGAGTAGGGGCCTTGCACTTCCGGTAATCTATAGAGACCTTACTCTTCAAAATTATTTACCGTTCATGTGGAACTCTAGTCAGAACTCGGGTTCTATTCGAACTTGGCCTCTGATGATTTAAAGCATTTTTCAGTGGTGCGAGTTTGTAGTATTTTTTTTTCGAGTGGTGCGAGTTCTGTCTCTGTGTGACACAGGTGCTCCGAGAAAGGAGGAATTTACTAAGAGAAGAAGAAAACAATCTAATGATTAAACACATTTCTTCAATATTATATTTCTTTTTTTTTTGAGTGGTGCTAGTTTGATAAAGTGATGCAAGTTGTAATAATTAGTGAGAGTGTTTGAGTGGTGCGAGTTGGCCGTGGGCCGAGTTGTCGGGCAGTAAGTCGACTGGGCATGCGAGAAAGCGTATAAGACACGGATCGATAACGGTCTCCGAATTTGGATATTTTCTCAAAAAATTGGCGTTTTCTGTGGAAAAATGATTGTTTCAAAGACAAATTTAGGAAGTACAAAACACTACATTTATACGTAATATCACAAATATTTGGAGTTGCGGCTCAATGAAATCGGTCTCTTTCTTTAGTAGTATAGATATGTTATTACATTTGTACAGAAATAATTACGATATATTATATAGGTAGTTCGAATACTTTTTATATTCTTAAATCGAAATACGTATATACGTTATTAAAATTTGTGTATATTTATTTTTTATATCTATTTTATTTCAATTTTCAATAATATTACTGAAAAGTGAGATATTCGTTTTCCCTCCGCATATTAGCCTAGTCAATTTAGCTCTAAAATCGCTCAACCTGCAACTAATTGCAACACAAGGTTTTTTTTAGTATCGGCAATGTCCGCAATTAGGCGAATTTCCCCAAGAGGTATATTATTCAATTCTATATTTTCGCGCTTTTACAGAAATCGTTAATGTATTTACAGAATTAAAAAAACGGATATATACGAACTATTTCCGTATGGATAGACTTCGAATTCCGTATATACGTTATTATGACGTAACAATTCTTTGCATACGCAAATACAGACTATACAGAATTTTAATTGCGTAATATATATGCAGAATTTGAATTATG